ATGCGGAGCAGCAATACAAGAACAAAATCCTGGCTCTGGCACAGGTGGTGAGTAAACATTTCTTTGGGCCTCAGTTTCCTCACATGTAAAAGGGGAAATTAAGGTAACCACGTGGGATGCCTAGTAGTGTAATAATTAGCACCAGGAACATACTACGGACTATAAAAGCATGTATTGGTGTCAGTTCTGTTTTCACTGTGAAGTGTCAGGGACACCGCTCCAGGTCACCACATGAAGCTTCAACAGATTCTATGTACAGCTGTGCAGCACCCCACAGGATGACTGTCAGCCCCTGCCTCAGGCGGCTCACTCAGTTAACAATATACCCACATCCTGGTACTTGGGGCTAGAAAAATGCTGTTGGGTGCTTTTCATAGGATTGCAAAGTGCAAAAGGGGAAGGCTGGTTGGAAAGGCATGCACATTTTAAACTTGCGTGAGTCAGATCTCCTTTTAAAAAAGTTCTAACCATCACCACAGACAATAGGTATGTGAAGGTTATTAATCCAGGGCCCAACAACACTTGACACGTGGGAAGAGCTCAATATTTCCTTTCCCTTCAGAATTACCTAGAAATAACGTCTTCATGTTCAGAAGACAGATGTAACCAAATAATAAACATTAATATTTTACTGGGCAGGGGAAAATGAGAGGGATAATGGAAGAAACCACCCCAAAGGTGACATTTTTAAGTACATGCCAAAGATCATCAGCATCAATGACAAAAGGAATTAGGAAAAAACTGTATCAAATTACAGGAAGAGCTGAGTGAAGAATTGGGATGTTCCTCTTCCCCAACTACCCTGTTAATGGGAAAGTCTGGTGTTAGCTGGTGCCATCTCTGCTCAGTTACACCCCGAGGGTCGGATTCGAGGGGGAGGCCCTACAGAAGGTAGCCGGTATTGTTTCCAGCACCCTCTGACTGTATCTTTGCTTCTGTCAGAGTTCCAGTGAGTAGTATGGAAACTGGCTTTGAGGGGAGTCAAATGACTCAAATGAGGGCAGTGGTGACAGAGAACAGTGAGGGCGGGACTCTGGGCACGGGCCAGACTCAGAGACTAACTGGATGGAGGCTGACAGCTCCCCAGGGACGACCATGGGGGGGGGGGCGGCGGGCACGGCAGGGCCAGGCTCACCAACTTAGTTCACTAAGTAAAGCATGGGGAACCTGGGAGAGGGAGGCCAAGCTCTCCCAAGCTTGTGGGGTTAGAAGACAACCAAAGGGAATAATTTAATCTTAAATACAAAGTATGAGGTATCTTCAGGACCTTGTCCTGCAGCTAGTGTGGCTCTTGCGGGAAAGGGCGGAGCTGCAAGTGTGTGTGTGAGCGGTGGTTGAGGTCATCGGCTTTGGAGACTAACCGGAATTCAAACCCCACAGGTCGGCCTACCAGCAAATGACCAGTACTTCTGAACTCAAGGTTCTTCAACTATAAACTGGGGAAATTACCCTTATATGTGGCAAACGGGATTGATCTATGGCACCCACTAGGAATTCAAAACTTGGGAGCTCATCAGCATTTTTCTTCACAGTGAGGCTACCCGGTGGGGTAACAGGGCCAGGCTGCAAGGGGAGTTTGCCTCCTACAGGGAGTGGGGGCCCCCAAGGCCAGGATAGCTACTGGCAGGAAGATGACAGGGAAGAGGGGTGCAAGTAAAGGGTGAAAGAAGAGTGAAGGAACAGCTGAGGTTTTCTTTCTTGTAAAGAGGTACAATCTCAGCCGAGTGAAAGAGCTGGGCAGGAGAGAAGAGCAAGGGTTTAAAACAGCAGCTGACAGAACCCTCAGGAAAGGCACCCTGTGTAATCTTTACCATAAAACTCCCATTTCTATGAAGAATCCACGCCCCGCCCGAGAGGCTGCAATGGTGATGTAACCGATATGAGAGCCCACCTGAACCTCCGGCCTGTGCTTTATAGGGTGAGAAAAAGTAACGCCACATATGACATCGGAGGGGAAGCCCAAGGCAGGGCTGTGCCTTGGGGAGGGGGAATAACCTGACATAATCCCTGGGCACTGTTTACAGCGGGACTTTCCTGATGAGTAAGCCAGCATCACGAGTAAAACTCACCCCAGCCCGCAACCCCTCCCGATCCCAGCGAGAAAATCATTCTCTCCGGAGGGCGGATATCTGGACCCCTAGGGATCAATCCAGCATCCTCACTTGGCAGATGACAGCACCAAGTGACAAAGGAATTTGGGGGCAGACCCAGGAAAAATTCTGGATGTCTTCATTCCTCAAGCAGAATCAAGCTGGGGGATCAGACACAAAAGGCCAACCTGTTGACAGCATTCTGCAGAAAACACTTGGACTAAGAATTACACTCTCCTTTTTTTTAATCTCCACTTTTTGGTTGGATTTTTCTCATTGTAAAAAAAAAAAAAAAAAAAATCCTTATCTGCAAAGCATCCCTGATAAAGGCCACTGTTCAAAAGAAAATTTCTTACCCTCATATCCTCACTGATGTTTGCTAGCTGCACCCTGAGATTATTTCCGATAGTGACCGAAGCAGTTTAAAAGATCCTATTATTATTCTTTTTTTTTTTAACTTAATATAATGGGGGCACCAGTTTATAGATCTAGTTGTTCCTTTTATTTACTATTATTATTTTTTTTAATCTTCATCCAAAGATATGTTTATTGATTTTAGAGAGAGGGAAGGAAAGAGAGAAAGAAACATTGATGTGAGAAAGGAACATCAATCGGCTGCCTCCCATCTGCACCCTGACTGGGATTGAACCCACAACCTTTTTGGTGTATGGGACAATGCTCCAACTGAGCCACCCAGCCAGGGCCGGTCGTTCCTTTAATTCGTGCATTATAAAATATGGTGAACTGGACTCCTTTCAATGCTAACAATCATGACTGATGGTGAAGGGGAGAAAAATCATGTGTAGAAATTGCTGGAATCCTCTGCCTGGGGGGGACCTTGCCTGGCATGGACAGTTAGTAGTTTGGGGTGATAGAAAGGTCATATAATTGGTCTCCCCCAAGACAGTGACCTTGGAGAACTCAGCAGTGACTGGGTGCAACAGAAGGAAAACAGGAAGAGACAATAAAATGCCTCATATTGTGAAACAAGCAGCCACTGGGCAAAAAGTCTTGCCTTACAACAGCAACCACCTCATTAGAAATCGCTTCTACACTCCACTTTACAACGAGTCAGTAAAGTCAGGCTGTAAACGTGGGGAGGGCAGCGGAGACGGGAGAGGCAAGCATGCCCTCCAGATGCTGAAAGGCAAAAACAAGAGCCAACGAAATCCACAGTCATGCTTCTAAATTTCTCTAAGTCTTGCCTCAGAGTGTGATGGGGCCCCTGCCATGCCCAGGCGGGCAGGTGCTTCCTCAGAGCCCTGTGTTTTAGAAAGCAGGGCTACCACCAGGACAGATGGTAACAGCAGAACTGACTGGCAAGGGGACAGGTGATTCTGGGGAGGGGAATGGACTTTGACTTGCTTAGGAGGGTTTTTTCTCTCCCATACTCCCAAGGGTGACACTGAGAGCCAGGCAAGCCCTGCACAGACAAGGTCTGCACCACAGGAGAAGAACCCCCACATTATGAACCCTGGAGCATCTCCCTTATGATGATCCTTTTAAAGCATAAACAGCCTCACAATGTTCTCTCGGGACAGACGAAAGGTCAGGCGTATTCTTTCCCCAGTTCGAAGGGACTGTTTAATGACTGTTGAGAAGTGGAACAAGCCCCCCCCAACCAATGACTTGTGGCTCTGCTGAGGGGGACCTCCGCCAAGATAGAAGAAATGAATGATGCAGACCCAATGGGTGGGAGGCAGAGGCACTGAGGAAACTGACTGTGGCAGAGCCGCCTACAAGTTCTTGGTATGAACTATTTTAAATTTGGGGTTTGTGAAGGACATGGCCCATGGAGCCCTGAACCCAGAGCAGAAACCTGCCACTATGCAAAAAAGCGAGACAATGGCATAAACACTTTCCTTTAGTATGTAAATTCCAGACCAAGATACATTTTGTTTTCTGTGACTGCCCCAAACACTAATGAAAGATTTTTTCACTTTAGAGATTAGCATTTCCTTGCATGTCTGAGAAACAGATGCAAGGACCGACTACACACACCCAGGAATACCTGAAAGCACTCCCTCCCACCTGTCTGTGGTCCTGCTTTCTCCAGGTCGGGCACACCCAGGATTCCCCTTTTCTCATGCCAGACTTTCAACTTTTCAAAGGCTGTTCTGTAGCATGAGAGAAAAGAAAATGATTTGCAGGAGAATGACCTATTTTCTTAAAAGAGCTTCCAGCCTCTCAGACTCCTTCCAGGGTGTTTCATTTTTGGAGTAAAGCTAACGTTTTGTTAAACAACCATGCAAACCAGAGCCACCTGTCACGCTCAGACCCTATGACCTCCGAGGCATGCACGGGACTGATATGCTGGGCTGGTGGTTTTATCCCTGTGCTGGGCACTGAGGGTAGAGAAAGCCACATGCTTTTGTTCTGCCACCTACTAAATAAGAATAGCCATTTTATTCTATTCTGATTCTTCATCACAAATTTCTGTTAGGGAGATTAAAACAATCTCTGAAGACCACTTTAGAACGAGGTTGTTTTTGCTAAAATGATGTGCTCTCTCTCTCTCCCCCCATCCCTCCCTCCCTTTCACTCCCTCTGAAAATCGACGGAAAAAATATCCTCGGGTGAGGGTTTACAAAAAAAAGTAAGTTTATGGGACAATAGGGAAAAGGTGAGAGCATTGCCCAGACACCTAATACTGAGGAAATACCACGTAATTATTTTTTGTTTTTTAAAGAGTCCTCATCTTGTAGCTACAAACTGCAGCGAGCTGAATGGTGAAGTGGGGAATCAGGAACATGAGAGTCTACGGTTATTACTCTATCCTGTATCTATGTTGAAAAGCTCCCACCATAAAGAGCCTAACAGTCTGTCCCTCCCCCCCAAGTCCCCACACGCCGCCCGTCTGAGCCGAGAATGACCTTACAGGCGCCCAAAGCGAGGCAGACGGCGACTCACCTGTCGATGAACTGGTCGATAACGACGATATCACCGGGCTGAATCTCTTCCCTCAAGGAGCCGCAAGCTGTGGTCACTACGACATGAGTACAGCCCTCCTCCTTCAGAGCCCAGATGTTCGCCTGATAGTTGACTCTTGAAGGCATGATAGTGTGCTGCCGACCATGCCTGCGGGGGAAAGGGCGCTCGGTCAACGGGCGCAGCACAGCCGCGCTGCCAGGAGAGAAACCCACCACGGCGGCGCCTCCCGGCCCCGCCCGCCGAAGCGCTTTCGTGGGCAGGGCGGAAAACGAGGCTGGGCAGTAACCAGTCCACGCCAAGTATAAACCATTCGGTTTGAAAGCGCAGGCGGCTTTACGTTCCATGCATTTATTTTCCTCTCCAGGGGAGGTACCAACTGACTTAGAATTCCCTCTCCAGGAAGAGGCACCTGGTCTCAGATGAGCCATGACAGAGAAAACAAGAGGTGCCAATGAAGAAAGACGCAAAATACAAATAAAAACTCAAGTGTCCAGCTGAATCTCTATTCCTTCTGCTCCATCACCCAAATGAGTTAATGAAATGTTTAAAATAGGAGAGTTTCCAGTTGTTTATGATGACATGAGAAAGTTTCATCTGAGAAAAGATCACCTCACCCATGACCCATGTTACAGGCTGGACTGTGCCCCCCCATCCCCGCCATTCATATGCTGAATTCCTAACCCCTAGTACCAGCAGAATGTAACCCTATTTGGGGGCGGGGTCTTTAATAGGGTAATTAAGTTAAAATGAGGTCATTAGGGCGGGCCTTAATTTAACACAAATGGTACCATTACAAAAAGAGAAAATCTGGAGGAAGACATACAGAGAACATGTGAAGATACAGGGAGAAGATGGCCACCAACAAGCCAGAGGGGTCTGAACAGATCCCTCCCTCCCGGCCCTCAGAAGAAACCAATCCTGCTGACACACATCTTACAGGTGGATCTGAGACTTGATTCCAATCAATGGGATACAGCAAAGCTGCTGGGAGTCCGGCCCATGGTTAAGTTACATCTTGACAGCAGAGACCCTCCTACTGGCCCTGAAGGAGAAGGCTGCTATCATGTGAACTGCCTATGGAGAGGGTTAGGTGGCAGAGAACGTGCACAGCCTCTAGGAGACGAAGGCCTCAGTCCTACAACCTCCAGGAACTGAATTCTGCCAACAGCCACGTGGACCTGAATGTGGATTTGGAGCTCCACGCAAGAATAAGCCCTGAATCTACCTTGTGTGACTCCAAAGAGCAAACCCAGCTAAGCCGTCCCCACATCGCCAACGCCCGGAAACTTTAAGAACATGTGCGCTGTCTGAAGATGCTAAATTTGTGGTCATTTGGTTTGTTACGCAGCAATAGAAAACAAATACATGAGATACAGATGACTTTTCTTCCTCTATAATCTGGAGCCGCGCTAGACTTATCAAAGAAACAAGGGCACAGAAACCACAGGGAATCCACCTCAGGGACCCAAAATCTGCTCCCCACAAACTTAGGACTATAGTAATATCCACAAGGGTCATGAATGAAGCAGTTTTTCTTTATCTTGCTAACTAGAAAAACAAAAAACAGAAGAAAACATTTCCTCTTGCAGCTGGAACTGAAGGAAGCCAACCAACCAGAGCTTCAACTTTAGTCAAACTCATCACTCCCTAAGGAGGGAGTGGGTGAGCTCTAAGTCAGTCTAACTGGCCCAAAACACCGTGAGGAGGTGAATGAAGGTGACTAAGATGACCTGGCGCCACCAGCACATAAAAACTCATACCTGTATCATGACTCTTTCCAGATTTTAAGTTAAATTTAAATTCTCCTTTAGGAGTGACATTTGTAAAATCTAAAACATCTTACCTTGCAAGTAGGACGCAATCAACATTCTTTATCTTCCCCAAAATTAAGGCATCAGAAGGCTGCACATAAGGAACAATGGTTACAACTCAGTGATTTGAAAACATATGAACAATTGAAAAGCTGCCACTCCATTTGTTCAACCATGTCAGGATTCGTGGGAACTTGGAGTTTGACGATATACTTTAAAGAAGAGTCTAGATTTGACGAGTAATCACTCAATAAATATTTACTTAGCCATTTACAAGCATGGAGGTTCACTGGACTCAGAAGGCTGTGTCAGGTGCTGGGTAGTAGCAAGCACCCAAGGGACTCTGACGGTAGGCCACCAAATACAGCTGTGTTGGTAGATACAAGTGCAAGGGTGAAACCCAGGTGGGCCAGGAGGCCACCGTCAGGGGATTTAAGAATTCAGCACTGGAACCGTTTGCTCTGTTAACCAACCATAATATGGCCACCGGTGTCCTGAGGTAATGGAGAGAAAGGTTCTGAGACTAGGGGCTTAAGAAAACATAAGGCTGAGACATGAGCCAAGCTTACAGGCTTCTAGCAGGACTGGGAGAACATGAGGTCAATCTAAGGACTTGCTGAGAAAGGACTGGGTTGGGAATGTCAGGTGCAGGGATCCTCACAGTAGGATCGAAGAACAGCAGTGTGTGGAAGCAGGACCAGGGGATTAGAAGGCAAACACCCTCACCCTCGCTGGGTGACACGGGGGTTGAGAGAATGAACAGCCTCCTTGGAACGGAAAAGGAGGGTTCTATTTCCAGTTCAGTTATGCAATCGTATTATGAATCCCCAAGAAATCCCCCTTTGGGCCAGGGCTTACTTTGTAGTTTACCTCCTAAATTAGCATGGTATGACCTATCTGCACCAAATTAGAAGCTGATTTAAATGCTTTAAATGCAGATAACTGAAGAGTACAGTTGCTATGTCTAAAATGAGTATGTGGCTTCTAGGAATAGAAATTGAGAAGCTGCACACGTTCAAAAGCAATGCTTTCAATACAGGCGAGTCCAAGGCATCCTTGGGGATGCGGTCTCAGCTGGTAGAACCCACTGACAGGATTCCTGGCCACCCCCAGCCTGGGACTGGCAGCCCTGGGCTGACGACACAAAAGCAATTTAAAAAAAATTTAAACTTAAAAATCAAGGTAGCAAGGAGAAAGGAAAAGCTAATATGTCTCCATTAAATGGATATTAACCTTGCCAAATGGAGTATCCACGTATTTCTCAGTTCTTCCTTCTAAGATTTCTGGATCATCCAGGCCTGTACCACCAATGATTCCAATCTAAGGGAGACAACAAAATGTACCATATTTGATCAGTTTTTATTAGAAACAAAATCATTATTTTAAGCAAATTCATTTACTCATGTTCTCCATTCCTGCTAAGCCCTAGTTATCTTAAAAATCTGAGAAACAGACACTGAACAAACATTTGTAGGCCGTTTGTATTCCAGAAATAACCAAAATGTGGGTAACCTTTTTGGACTTTATCACATTTATTGCTGGTCATTTGAATAACAAATTAGCACAGAAAGGTAGCTTAAGGGGAAAATCAAACCAAAAATAGGCAACTGTGGTTGCAGAAAGTACTCTCTAACCAATGTTTTACTCTCTACTAAATGGGCTATAGAATAAAGATTGTTCAAGCGACTGCTGGAATAGGAAATATTCTGAATGGTCACTCTGAAATGATTTCTCCTCATTACCCCATTAAATAAAGAAACAAGACAGATTTTCTTCCCTGTGCCACTCAAATCAGAGCTGTAGGGGACCACAGAGAGAGAGTCTAGAATAGCATGAAAAGTTAGCCCCATGTACATTTATAAACTTCAAATGTCATTAATATATATGCATAAATATATATAAGGAATTCAAAGGTAGTTCTAAAATTTTTTTTAAAAATTCCAGTGTTGGATGCATTTTCCAGAAAACAAGTTAACAGTCCTTGTCTTCGGGGACTAATCAGAGTTAAAGAAACCAGGTACTGCCGCCTGGACTCAATCTAATTTGATAACTAAGGAACACAAACAACCAAATAACCAAAATGTGGGTAACCTTTTACAAAGATAGGTAAAATGATAACTAGCCAGTTAACCAAAAAAAAATTAGATAAATAAAATCGTTAGGAAGGTTTCTCCCTGGGCTGATACTTCCTAAAAAAGAAATAGTATTTAAGTTGTCAGCAACAGGTGAGAGAGATGAGATTTTACCAAGAAGCCTAATGGAGCAATTTTTTTCCAATGAAAAGCTTTAAATCTATTTTCACTTGAGTAAAGTATCCACTAAATGAAGTCAAGTAGCCCTTTGAGAAAAAATTTGTGAGTTAAGAATCAACTAAACGTCTGAATAATTTTCAAATCATGTCAAGCTGATTTATAGTAATATGTGGAAAAATAGTTAACTCTCTAGCCCTCAGTTTCCTGGAAGTCAACGAAACAGAACATAAGGGCCATTTGGTGAGATTTCTGCTGAAGACCTGAACCGCCCGTTACATGATTTAGAGCTGTGTCCCCACAACTTCCTCAAGTGGCTAAACCAGTTTTTGAAGTTGGTGCCACCTTGTGGTGCATTACTGAAACCACAGCAGGTTACATGTCAAGACTAACCACATTCACCAGATTTACAGTTTTCAAATCAGCAGAAATGTTCACTTAAGTTAGTACATTTAAATCATGCCAGTTCAACAGAATTGTTTTTTTAAAAAAATCATACTGTTTTGTGCAGTCTTTGTCTGGCTGGCTTCTCCATTCTATCTTTCCTTCAAGTGCCCCTGAAGCATCACAGATCACAGGGGACTAATAACCGTCCGGCACATGTCATCAACCCAGACCACAGAACTGAACTGCTGACTCAAATTACTCTCAGTCTATTCTTCAGGGATTCTGCCACTGATGAAAACTTCCATTTTAAAAACTTATGACCACTTATGCTCCCTGGGCCATAGTATCTCACATTCTAGACTCTCAGACTCGTAGGCACAAAAGAAACCTGACTGTTTCAAAACCATGCTCTCAGTTTAGGCAAGCTGGCCCAGCATTGCAGAAGTAGGTAAGAAATGCTAATAGAGGTCCTGCTGAAGTTCAGTGTCCTTGAGCCCACCCTCAGCAGCCCCAAGCTTCAGTCCACACCACTTTAGCTCCATGACAACCTTGCATTAGGCATGTGGTAATTCAGCATTCAGCAAGGAACATGCCATCCTGGGCATGAAAACAAGAGCTGCTACAGCTAACCAGAATGGCCAGGCTGTGGCCTCTGGCCCTGGAATTATCTGCAGGAGTGTCCACCCAGTCGCCCAACTGGCTCTAGTTGTTTATGGAAACAATTATCTTGCAAGGAATACAGAACAATTGCAGCAACTGAGTACTGCCACCCCACGGAACTGAATTTCTAACCACTTTCCTGCAGCTGCAGATCGCGGCCAGCAGTGCCAAGATGTGGCAATATCGCCACCTGCTGTTCCTTAGCAAAGTACCACGAGGATGAAATTCCCAAGCAGCTCTGACATAATTCTGCAGCTTCTAAATTCAGCTCAGCACCTGCCTCGGTAATGTTTTATTAAAACAAAAGAAGAAGAAGAAAAAAAAAGGAACTGTGCCTGAGCACTTACATCACAGGCACTATGCTAGGTGCTTCAGCGCCTTATCTCATTTGATCTTCACAACTATCCTACACGACAGACCATGTCACATTACACCCATTTTACAAAATTGAAAAGAGAAAGCATAAAAATAAGAGCCTGTCCAAGAGCAAATCACAAGGAGCAGAGCTGGAATAGGAACCTCGGTCTTTCACACTCAACCACTGCGATGTGCTCCCTCCCAATATCCCCTGGGATTCTTTGTAACATCTTACCCAAGTAGAAAATTTTTGTCTCCATCTTATGAGAAAACTGATGCTCAAAGAGGTCAAGTTCTGGACTAAGATCACAGAGCGAGCTTAGAAACAGTGACTCTGGGTGTTTAAGGGACCACCTCGGAGGGCTGGGGGGTTCTCCATCAGTAACCTCATTCACACTCAGGAAGCAACGAGAAGATGTTACCAGGGCTCCTCGGCCAGAAGCATCAGCCCTCAGTCCAAGCAATCCTCGGCTGCCTAGGAAAGGTGTTCCAGCAATGAGATGGAATCTGTGGGTCAATTCTGCCAGGCCAGGACTTCATTACACAAGATAAAATTCTGAACAGACCTTTGGTCAATCAAGGTCATTGTCACATTTTAACAGCTAGTGTCACCCCACACTCTTCCTCTGACACACCACCAAGCCAGTCTCCCCAAGAGGAGAGGATTTGACTTGCTGAGACTATGAAAGCATTTTATTGAAATGTTGGCTTTTTTGGGCAGAATGGCTACTTCCAGCAATGTTGAAAGGGCTCATATTTACCCTTACCCTCTACTTCCCCTGGTGCCTGGACCCAGATTTCACATATCCCACTAGGTTTCAAGAACCACTCACCACCACATTGAGGCTGGGACACACTACCTAAGGAACCCAGTCCTCCAGGATGGCATTCTCAAAACACCATAACCCTGAGCAGTTGAGACTAGCTCCTGCCAGGAGGCAGGCTGCCTGAGTGTTCAAGCTCACAAAGCAAGAGACCCTGAGCTCGAGTGGGCAGCAACCCCTGATCTGAGCTTTTTCAGTCCTTCAGCTCTGGCTGCCACTGACAAGTTTGGCAAGCGCAGCAGCCCAGGGCCTTGCAAAAGCCCAGAAGTCCAGTTGTATGAGGAGAAAGTGGCCCAATGTCTGTCTGGGAGGCTTGTTCACAACCTGCGATAATATCCATGGGCACAGCTGGTGGCTCCATCTCTGACAAGATAACCCCTGTGGGTGATGGTTACAGGCTCAACGGTGCCTCCCAAATCTACACGTTGAAGTTCTAATCCCCAATACTTCGGAATGTGATTATTTTTGGAAATAAGCTCTTTCAAGAGATAAAGTTAAGTGAGGTCTTTTCGGGGAGGAGAGGTGTCCATTATGACTGATGACCTCATAAGAGAGTAGGACACAGACCTGCAGAAGGAAGCGCATGTAGACACAGAAAGAGCATGGCCACCTGCCAGCCAAGGGGAGAGGCCGCCAATGAAATCAAACTGCTGGCACCTTGATCCTGAACGTCCAGCCTCCAGCACTGTGAGGAAATAAATTTCTGTTGCTTAAGCCACCCAGCCTGTGGTACTTTGCTATGGCAGCCCTAGCAAACAAAGAAGTAACACACTATGCTTTGGTCAGAAATAACTGAGGGCTTGGAGATTAAAGATTGAAGTGGACTGAACAGAAGCTACACTGACACTCTCTCAGGACCAAACTGGAATTAACAATTAAAATACAGAAAAACCACCCTGAATAATCAACTGCAACTGAAGACAAGCTGGATGGAGAGCACCCTCCTAACCAAGGAGGAAAAGTGGAAACGGCATAGAAACTGGCAGGAAGTGCGGAGGCGTAAGGGCTGGCTGGGCTCCCACAGGCCGCAGCTGAAGGTCCAGAGGGAGATCTCAGCTGTGGGGGTTCCCACTGAGGACTCTGGGGCCTAATCCCCAGGCTGAACGTCCCAGCCCAGAGCACCAGCACTGAGAAAGGTGCCCACACAACAGCTGGCTGTGGAAAGCAACTGGGTTTCTGTCTGCCAGGGAGAGGGCTGGAAATGCAGGCACCCCCCAAAGGGCCAACACACGTTTCGTGCGCAGCCACTCACCTTGGGCTCCTGCAGAGGGAGGGCAGAGTGGACTGGAGCTGTGTGAGGAGAATCTAGGGTTTTGGGCTCTGGCGTTAGAGTACACCCCTCTGGATTCCTGTGCCGGGTCATTCCCCCAAACTGCAGAGGACAAGTTTCTCAGGCAGAAAATTTGCTACTTTTGCCTGGGGGTGGGGAAGCAATTGCCCCACCCTGTGGAGTTTCCACAGCCTGAGGCTCATTGAGAGAATCAGATTAATCAGTCTGCAGGCAGGGGCGGACCTCAGAGTGCTTTGAGTCCTTGCCTGATCTGCTTCTGGACACAGGCCTTGGAAAGCAGACTTTGGTGTGCATCTTGGTCCTGTCCAACTGCACCCAGCCCCAGCAGAGGAGATCTCAAGTCAAGGGTTGTTGATAGCTCCAAACAGAGAACTCAGGGCCAGTCACAAACTGCGTCTGACTTGGCCTGCACCAGAGACCCTTCAAAAAGACAGAGAGTCCTAGCAGATCCACCTAATGCATAGAAACAAACCCAAACAGGCAGCCAAAATGGGGAGACAAAAAAAAAGCCCCAAATAAAAGAACAAGAGAAGTCTCCAGAAAAAGAGCTAA